AGGATGGGTGAGCAAGTGTGTTCCCACTGTCTGTCAGGTTACCCATCTGACAGGCTGTGTCAGAATGCAAGCCATTAACCTGTTTGAGCTTGAGCTATGCTGCTTATTAAGTATTGCTACTTCCTTGAGGATGGAGGAAACCCAATTTACAGGTGAAAAGTACAGGTCCAGTGCTCAATTTACAGGCTCACTGTATCTTTAAAAACTTTAAGAATTTTTTAAAAAATGAGATTCCTGGAAGGGCAAAAGATTTCAAAATGTTTGAGTCCTGAAGCTACAGTTTGTTTTTAAAGTACATTTTTAAAATCTTAATTTCTTTGTCTCCTGTTTGCCTGTTTCTTATTTCTTCTATTTCCCTCACTTCTTCCTGGGGATCCAAGTACCCCATCACGTTTAGTTTTACAATTCTGCAACCATAATTCCCATTATAAGATGTGGTTTATGGAAAAAAAATACAGAGGACTTCAGGGGATCTTGAAGTCCTTGACAAGTTTACTTCTCACAATCATGGTGGAAGTGAGTCTTAATTTACAAGCCCACTCTAAGATTCCAACCTTTTCTCTTTAAAACTCCTTCTTGCCCATTAAACCAGGTGTTCATGGCATTTCCAACTCTCTCACTGTGGGTCACTTTTTGGTCCATGTCTCCTGAACCAGCCAGCCAAATGGGTAGAGCCCTTTCTTGCTTCCACACTGAGTCATTAGCCCCTTCCTAGTGGGCCCATGTGACTAGATTCAGCCCCATCCAACTTTATGTTCCTTGTTCTGTTAGCTTAATAACTCCTCTCACGTATATTCTCTAGATTTTTGATCAATATAAATTAGAAAACAGTTTGGTTGGTGTCTAGCACACCTTGTCACAGATCACTCTACACTTCATAGCTCATCTTTTGGGAACTCTTGGGACTTGAGTAAGGTTATAGTCTATACTCAAAGAGGGATGGAGGAGATGGATCCTGAGGAAAATCAGAATTACCTTAGAAGGCATGAGCCTCAGGGGATGCATTACAGTTTGCTCTGGCAGTTCAGAATCAATTGAGATGGGGATCAAGAGGCCATTTCTGCAGGGAGTGAAAAAGCTACTTCAGTTGGCTAAGAAAAATCAGAATTTAGGGCCTCAGTGACTCTAGCTTCTTCAGGATCTTGCCTGATCCTGATCTTTCAATGGATCAATGGATCTTTCCATTGCTGTAAGAAATACTCAAGATAATCAAATTAGAAGTTTTATGTAGCTCCCAGTGTTGGAGATTTCATTCTATGATTGGTTCTGGGCCTGTGGTGAAGCAGCACATCGTGGTGGGGACAAGTGGTGAACCAGAAACACTCACCTTGTGGTTAAGAAGTAAGCAACATGGGGCCCCATTCAAAGTCTCCCTGACTTAACTCTTCCCACCAGGCCCCACCTCCTGGAGGTTCCATCCCCTTCCAGTAGTGCCAGGATGGAGACCAAGCCCCTCGCGAGACACTGCAGGTCCAAGTTACAACATATATATCTGCCAGTCTCCAGTTACTATAGAAGGGTATTTGTGCACCTCTAATATGCAGGTGCACCTCAGTTTACAATGCTATTATATCCTGATAAACCTATTGGAAGTTGAAAGTATCCTAAGCCAAAATTGTGCTTAAGCTGGCCTACTGTCATGCAGAGTGATGGATTTGAGATTGATATGAGCGAGTGTATGAATGAATACACACACACACACACACGTAACTTCTATCATGATTTTTAAAATAGTTCTTTTGTAATGCACCTAACATGGTAGTTTAGCCTAACCTACCTTAAGCTTTCTCAGCACACTTTGTCATCGTAAAGTTGGGCAAATCATCTAACACAAAGCTTACATTATAGTACATAGCACAGTTTCGGCTATCTTATGAACAGACACCGGTGAACGTTTTGTAGACCCGATGAGATACAGAAACACAAAACATAACACCTAACAATGCTGGCAACGCTGGACACTGCGAAGCAGAGTGGCCATCATTTCCCTTCCCAACAGGGTGGCTACTTCTAGACCGAGGCCCCCTGCTGGTGCTCATCACCGCCAGACCCCTCCAGCCAATCATCTGCGGCCAGGGAAAAGATCAAAATTCAAATTCCAGGATGATTTCTATTGCATGTATATTGCCTCTGCACTGTATGAAAGTTGAAAACAGTAAGTCAAACCATCATAAGTCAGGGAATGTCTCTCTTCCCATTACAAACCACATGCTAGTAAATAACCATGCTCCTGCCTCATTGACTCAGTGGTGAGTTTATCAAAGGTCGATGTTTCAGTCAAAGAGTATGTGAACTTTTAATTTTTGATAAGACAGAACCTTATTTTTCGATAGGAGTTGGAACAAATTGCACTGCCACCAGCCACATATGAAACATACCTTCTGCACCTTCTTATCAAGTCTGATAAACAGCAACTGCCACTGGTTTTTATTTGAATCTTTAAATGAAAAATGGGGCTCACATCTGTTTTGGAATTCTTTACCTAAGCGATGTGATGTTTCTTCTCGTATCTTGCTCATTTTTAGTAGCTACTTGGTCTTTGTATTCATATGTGCTAAGGGAATTATATAGTATCCTTTACAGATGTATAAGGAACAAATATTTCATACCTATTTTTTTACAATTTTAATTATCCTTTATTTCAACAGAATGTATCATATTTCTGCAAATCACTTGATCAATAATCTTACCTTTGAGTTTTGTGTACTAGTTTTTTTGTTTGTTTGTTTTATATTATTATTAATTTATTTATTTTGGATACCAGGGATTGAAGTCAGGACCTTGCCCTTGTGAGGCAGGTAGCAGAACCACTCAGCTAAATCTGCAGCCCTTGTGTACTAGTTTATAATGCCTTCCTGATTCCATTTCTTAATGAAAAATATTCTTGCTTTCCTAGGATATTTGAGACTGGTTATGTAGGATTTATTTAGTTGGAGTTAGGGCTGCAGTTTATTTTTTTCCAGACAGATGCAAACTGTCAACAACAAATATTGAATAATCTATTTTTTTCTCATTCATTTGAATTGTTACCATCATTCTGATTAAGGGCCCTTACATTTTGCATTCTATTTTTTGATTTCTCATTCTATTTTCTTGATTTCTTTATTTATATACCAGTGATACAATTCTAAATCTGTGAATACTTACATTAGTATATTTTAATATTTGAATATATTTTCTATTCTTATTATTCTTCATATAGAGCACTTTCCTCCTTTTGTGCATTTTCCTTTTAAATTCTAGAATCAGCTTGTCTGCCTTCAAAGGAAAGAAAAGAAAACCTTGTTGGTGCATTAATTGGACCTCAATTACAGGTTAATGTGAAAATAGTTGACATGTACTTATTGTGTCTTTTAATCTAAGAATGTTGTATATGACTTCCCATTTGTTTAAGAGTTCTTTAAAGTCTCTCAATAGCATTGTATAGTCTTTTTCATAAAGTTTTAATTTCCCTTTTAATCCAAGGGTTTTTCAGTTAATATAAGATCTTATGAATTTCTTATTTAAAAATCCAGGATAAGTATTTTCTACTGTCTGCTCTTCCTCTTGTCAAAACAATAAGCTTTAATTGTTAGGTACACGGCTGAGGCTTTTGTATACTAATTTTGTACACTGCCTTTTTATTGAGCTCTCTTGTTTGTCTTATGACATTTGAGTCTGTTCAGTTATTCCAGTATTTGTTCATATAAACTATGAGCAGAGATACTTTACCTCTACCTTCCAAGTTCTCTATACCTTATTTCTTCCTACTTTTTGAGCTTGTACCACCACAGAAATGGTCAACAATTACAGTGATGTTTACTGTCCTGATCTGGTTTCTGCCTTTAATGGGAATGCTTCTGATAGTCCATCGGGCATAGTGATAAATTTGGGGTTTATATTAATGAATGAATGGATGGATGGGTGAATGTATAGATGAATGATTGAATATATGCACACATATAGTTTTAATCTATCATAATTTTTAAAATAGATTTTTTGTAAATCCAAGAATGAGTACTGAAGGTAATTAAAAAGTCCTCTAGATATTTGTCAAGATGATCCTATAGAATTTCATTCCTTATTTTTATTTAATGCAAAGCATAGTATGACTATATAATAAAGTAAATAAATATGTTTTGAAATATTAAGCCATCTGGGTCTTACTGGAATAATACCATATTATTAGTTTATGTTTTATTTAAGAGATTTATATTTATATTCATGATAAAGACAGATCTGTACCTTTTCTGCTGTCTTGTATGAGATTACTATAATTTTTTATTAAAAGAATGTGGGAAAATGTCCTTTTCAACCTGTGCTCTGAATAATTTAAATATTGCTGCATGTATGCAGTCCTTCAAATTTTGTAAACATTTCTCTGTGAAAGTGAGGGGGCCTGTGTTTGAATAACTTGCTTGGGCTGACAGTTTTTTTCTGGCTGTTCTGTGAAAATTTTCAACCTTGACTCTTCTTATGATTATTTTGCTGGTTTCCCCTGGAGATTTCCTTGGCTATCATTCAGTTTATTCAGGTTCTTTCATTTGTTTTCACAAAATTGAGCAATTTTTTCTTTTAAAGAATTATTCTTCAGCTTTGGTATTTTAAAACATTGTGGGGTTTTTGCCTCTTGATTACAATGGCTAATGGCTTCTGGATTTTATGTCTAAGAATCTGATTTTGGAATTATTAATTCTAACTTTTTGGTGTGTTTCTACTTCATTGTTGTGTATTTTGTCCTTACTAATGCTATCCTCTAATTTGTTTTTAAAATCTTTATTCTAAGCATTGTTTTAGTTGTATCACATGGACTTTATGTATATTTCATCATCATTATTTTACTTTACATAGTTTTGTTTTAATTTCCTTTTTAATGCAACAGTGTTTGATTTCTATGGTATTATTGTATTTAATATTTTTAAGATTTATCTAAGGATACAGGATTAGAAAATGTTCTTTCTATTTTCTTTTAATTTTTAAAATGTATTGAGGTTTTTCTTTTAGATTACTCTGTGGTCAATCTGGTGTATATTTCCTGGGATCTTACAATAGTAACGATTCATTCTCTGAAGTGTGGAGTTTTGCATGTGGATAGATCAGTGAATTACTCTTATATCATGTGTGTATAATTACATGTACAGTTCACATGAGATCTATGTGTCGAACTCTATACTGATCAATGTTTATAACTCACCTGATCGATATTTGATAAATTATGTGATTTAAATATTTTCTAGTCTTTTTGGTGATGACGTTGACTCTCAAGGACTGAGTGTTAAGCACTAAGATCTTCTACTACTCTTTCCTGTGTGCTTTTCAGTTTTTGATTGTTTAAATGTTGACGTTTTGTCCCCGGGTACAATTTTCCATGAAATCGCTGTGGATTACACCATTTTTCAGTATAGGCAGCTTTCCTTTGAATTTTAAGGATGAACATATTTTCTCTCTCCAGATCAGAGCTATCCTGGCCAGGTCATTGAATCAGTGTGAAGAGAGACTAGGTGAAGCAGCCTCAGCTCTGTGCATAGAGGTAGGGAAGACAGGCTAGGAGATCCGGGGAATCACTACGTACTTCTGGACCATAGGATTTCAAGCTGGAAAAGAATTAAAGATGAGTTGTCAACATGTAGCCACTGAGTGTACAAGAGGGAGATACTCGGGGGAGGATTTTTACAGAGAAAACTATTCAAGAAAATATTTGGGGGAACCGGAGCACCTGGCAGAGAAAATGTGGAGGTCTGTCTGAGTGGAGCGGCTTCATCCAAGACAGGCATGGGCCAGTGTGTTTGTGTCTTCCCCCGAGGCCAACAGTGCGGACAGTTCAGCAGGAAGGGGGCTTAAGTGAACCTGGTAATCTGCATCTTGCTTCTCCCTCTGCTCTCTCCTCCCTTACTCCCTTCCCTCCTTCACTCTTTCTCCTTCTACCTCTCCCTTTCTCCTTCCTTGCTTTCTCCCTCCCCCCCTTCTTTCATGATACTAGGGATTGAACCCAAGGTCTTTGCACTGAGCTACCTCCTCCCTTTTTAAAATTTTGAAACTGGATCTCACTGAATTGCCAAATGCACAGGCCGGGCTCAAATTTGTGATCTTCCTGACTCAGCCTCAGTATTTTAGGCACCGTGTCTGGATGACATCATTTTCTTTAAAAAGTAGTTTTGAAATCTCTGCAGTGTTCTTCCTCCTTTCCATTTCCCCATGACTCGGACCTCTCCGTTCACAGCCTGTCCTGTAATCACACGGCGTCTCACCGGGACGTCTTTACTCTTGATGAGCTCTTATTTCAAATGTAGGAATACAGCTTCCTTTCCTATCTTCGGGCAGCGATGCCGAACTGACTGAGAATGCTGTGTTCCCTTGAATCCTGCCCCTGTGACAAACATCTTTACATATCTCTGTCCTACCTGCTTTCTCTCCATCAGCAATCTGATGGATGCCGCCAGTCCGTTGCTTGGTGTCAGGTCTTCTGTGCAGGTCCAGGCTATTTTTCTCTGCATGGTTCATCTTTGAAGGGAGATGATCCACAGTCGCTCTGAGAGAGTATGCGGGGGATGAGGTGGGATGAGACAGGAAACAGATTGGGGATGATGGCTACTGCTTTACCTTGGATTTGTCTCTGATGTCCTCCACCAAAATCTTCTGTTTCCTTCGTCTGAGAATCCCCATCCCAGGCTTATCCTCTCATGTCCTTCCTAGGCTTTGTATAACATCCTATCCCTTAAGAAAGGTGCCTTGAGATTGTGGCCATTTCCTGCTTTACTTAAAACAAAGGTAGCCCTTTTATCTATTTTGTTTTGTGTGTAGATGTTCCTGGATTTACTACAGCATTGTGTTTCTATCAACCCATCATAAGTCAGAAGTAAATACTCTTAACCCCCCAAATAACACAGCTTAGCCTAGCCTGCTCTTATCGTGTGGTTTATTACACATTGTACTGAATGAAAATCAGAATGCTTGTACGGATATACTTTTGCATCATGTTAAAGTTGAAAAATTTTTCAGTCAATTATCATAAATTGGGGCCATCTGCTTGTGTGTGCACATGCATGTGCATGTTGGTGGTGGATCTGAAGGACAGTACAGTAAGGAAAATCATCTTTAAACAGAAGGCGATTTATGTTTTTCTCAAGCAAACTCCCCTGAGTTTCCCTTACATGAACTGGAAGGGGGGCTAACAGTGGAAGCAGAAATACTGCCAGTTTTATCAATTTTTTTAAAAAGAGGACTCAACACTTACTACTTTGACAAGTATTTTTAGAAGAGCAGGGGATACTTCAGAGAGGCCCAGCTCGCCTTGCTGACCTAGTAAAAGCCCCAGTGAACCTGCTATGAGACCTCTCACATCCGTTCTCCCCATGGTCCTCTGAGCCTTCCTGGTTGGACAGAGAAGGATAAGGATAGGAAAAAATTGTCAGGTTGAGAGAGCAACAGGAATGAGAGCCAGGGAAGGAGTTAGGAATACCAAGACAGGAGGGCAATCAAATCTGCTAATTTCCCACCACGAAGTTAAGTATTGCATTGATGATTCAGAATGATTATTTCAGTCTTTCTACTTAAACACAGCAAAGAGGACAGGGAATGTTTTTCTGCTGGTTATTATGATGAGGAACGTAATTACTGTGACTGTCCACAGTTTCTGAAGATTGCTTTCCATCAAGCCCTCGCTCTGTGGCTTTACTGCGAGATGAGGACATGGCCCTGGACCCTGGATGAGTCTCTGGGTCCATCGGCACCAGTTCCACATGGATGATGAATCTGTCGGGTGATTTGTGGTTGTTCATTTGTTTCCTGTAATGAGCACAAACTCCTTGCCACATTCAAATAAAAGCTCAATTATATCTCCGTATTCACAAATGCTGTTACCTTTTTGTCCGGCTATAAATGTTAATGAGTTTGCTATTGCTTTGCAAAGTTTAGAAATAAAATGCTTTGGACAGATGCTGTATAATGTGAAGTCCACTCTGCTTTTTATTTGGGGACCGAGCATCTCAACTATTTTACCCTTTATGGCCTTTCGTTTTAGAATACGGCTTGCTTTGCATTATTTGCCTCACTTTTTGGACGTAGTGTAACAAGGACATTAAATATAACTGAGCAGCATTGGAGAAAATTGCATCGAATCAGCTGAAGAGAACTGAAGGATGTGTTTATGGGCTAGATGTTTTGGAGGAGATACTAAGGCTGACAGCCTGATAAAAATTTAATAGCTGCACTTACTGATTTGCCACAGGCTCTCAAGGTCTCTGTGAGAAGAACAAGTACTGGAGCTTGCAGAATGGGTTCTCAAGTGTTAATCACCGGCTGATCTCTAGACTGAGAAGTCTGCCACATCTGTCCATCTGAATTTGGTTTCATTTTTCTCCGAATCACTTGATTTGTACGAATTCAGTTACTCTAGAAAAAGGAAAGCCAAAGTAACTGTCTGTGGAAATCTAGATTTCTTTTTGACTTAGAGGCTCCTTCTCAATAATGACAAAGTTAATATTCGTTCTTCCTGCATTCAGCCCGGCCACTTCCCTTCACCAAAGAGGAAACCAAGGCTCAGAACCAGTGGCACATGGACCTGCAAGGCCTACCGGCCTCGCTCAAGGGTAGCTGCCGGGGTGGATCTGAGCCTGCTGTGCACAGAGGCGCTGTGCTGGGGTCGGGGAGCTCGGAGACAAAGACGCGGCCAGCCCCGTAGGGCCTCTCCTTCCTTACCTGGAGCATGGCAGTCACAGCACAGCCAAGACCAAGGTGGGCAGAGGCGCCTCCCTCACCTAAGAGCGAGAGGAGAGCCAGGGAGGCCGTGGAGCCCTTGCAGAAGGCTCGTGGCTGAAGGGAGGTCTAAGCTGAACTAGAAGCGGTGGGAGGCTGAAGAGTGCGGGGTACCCACCGTGGGATGCTCGGCAGAGAACCGATTGCTAAAATCAGGAGATCTGTGAGGAATAACCCAGACAAGAATTTACAGACTGCGGTCAAACTCGAGATGTAGGGAGAGAAACTGAAAAATCTGATTCCTCCCCACGTGGCCGGATCTCAGCCCTTCTAGTTTTGGTCTCCGTGGGTTTGAGGCTGTCGGACACTTAGCGGCATCCCTCAATATTTATCCCTTTGTGACGACTGCTCGACTCCAAATAATGTCCATCCGTGCCGGAGCCTGTGTCAGGCTGGGTGACGCCCCCTCACGCTGTGCCCCACAATGCGTTTATGCATCCGTCCACTGGAGAGTAATCGGGTCGATCCCGCTTTGGGCCATCGTCAGTAAGCCGCGCTGAACAGAGCCGTGGACGTTGGTCCTCAGCGGGAGACTTGTGACATTCCTTCCTAGCCTCTGTTCTGCATTACTAAATTGTATTACCAATTAAGCTTACGGGTACAGTTCAGATATACCTAACGGTCACTTTCGTCACAGAGACTTTGTGCCCGCACACGATGCAGCGGGATTCAGATCTTCCCAGGCTCCTCCCTCCCTTCTACCCCGCCTCCCTTCCTGATTCACAACGTCTGCGTTTTCATTTCATCTTTCTTTTCTCATGTGTTTGTTTTCCTTTCCTCCCTTTCCTTCTCTACCCTCCCTTGCTGCGCTTCCCATTTGAACCTTTTCTTCCTACCTCACAATATCTATAATCCTTTTTTGTCCTTATTTACACCTTCGGTTTCTCCCATCGGAGAGAAGATACAGTGTTTACACATGTGCGACCGAACGATCTATGTTTCTTAAAAGTGTGGTCTCTTCCTCTGTTCAGCCATGTTGACTGTCCTTTCTCCCTGCTCTTGCCTTGAGTGGCATTATATTTCTGATAAGTGAAAAAGTACAGTGGATATGGTACTTCATTTAATGATAAGATAAACACAAATCTTGGGCAAATCACTTAATTATTTTATAACTTAATCTTTCATCTATAAAACCAAAATGCCATTACCTACCTCCTTGGCTCATGAAGAAAAGGTGTGATGACATCATGAAAACAACCCAAAATCTGTGAGATCTGGGCACATAGCCTGTCACATAATAACTGCCCAACAAGTGGAGGCTGGTACTCCACTGTCCGCCCTTAGGGCCAGGGAGTAAGGCAGAACATGTGTATCTGGGGTGGGGGAATGGCCAGGCACAGGTTCAGAGTCAGGGACGCTGTGAGATCAGACACGTACTTCTGTATCTGTGCAGATGATTTCTGGCAATAGTAAAATGTCCAAGTGCCGTGTCATGGGGTATTCAGGGAGACTGTATTGCAAGAGAAAAACTCAAAGCCTAGACAGTAAGAGCTCATAATTCCTCAGTTCCCCTGCCCTGGTGCCCTTCCCAGGATGGCCTGGGTAGCACAGTCCCCAGAAGGGGACCCACTTTGTTAAAATTGAAATGTGTCCCTCCTGGTCATATGTTAACTTCCTGAACTCCAGTACATCAGAGTGTGACTTTCTTTGAGATGGGAGTTAAAACCAGGTCCTTAAGTGCACCCTAACCAATACCACTGTGTCCTTATAAAAGGAGGAAATAAAAACACGAGGGTTCACTATGCAAAGCAATGACTGAAGATGTACAGGGAAAAGGCAAGAGCTTGGAACAGGCCCTCACAGCCTCAGAAGGAACCAAAGCTGCTCACAATAAATATCTGCTGGCTGAGCTGTGGTATTTTGTTAGAATAGCCCAGAAAAGAAATTCACCCCCCTACAGCCTTTTCACCGTGGTGGTGATGGAAAGCTCACGTGCCAGGAGACTCCGAGTCGGCAGAACACGAGCAAACAGTGATGACCCGGCGGGCTTCTGATCTTAGAGACAGTTCCACAGCGTGAGTACATCTGTGTCGTGCACCGCGGCACAAAGTCTCTGTTGGTGTCAGACTGCTGGGTTGAGGCTGTGTACCAGCCAAGCTTTGCAAGGACTCTGTGATGGTCACCCAAGAACCAAATCCCCCAAATGTGCACCCATCAGGATGTACCCTTCATCTCCCGCTCACAGAGCTCTGCTCGGCACACAAGTCAGTATCCATCTCTTTTAGTAAACTATGTATGTAATTTTCAAACAGTTTCATAAAGAATTTAAAAGAAAAATGATTTAAAAGTCTTCCACAGAAAGTCCAGTTGACAGCAAAATGGCTTTTTCATTATAGCGCAAATAAAAGCATTTTGTTTCTGGCTGAAAATTGTATAATATATTCTTCCACTGATGGCTGCAGTATTGCATTTTAATGAGCACTCTTACAGTCAATTCAGTCATTTATTAAAAACAGATTCACCATTTTGGCCATGAGGATCAATTGTTCATTTGAAGGAGAACGATAATACGATTTGTCTTCCATAACGTGAAGTTGTAGAAAGCTCCTTGGGATGCAGATGTCTCCCGGCCTGGTTTCTCTATTAAATTCCTCACCCTTCTAAACCAAGGGTGTTTCTTTGACTTCAGCAGTGATTCCAGAAGGCGGCTTTCATTTCGGAGAGCCCGAAGCTATGCCTGTGAGGCTTTAAGGCTGGCAGGGCTGACGCCAGTGCCTGCTTCCTGGCCGTGCTGCCTGCTCCCCAGCGCACACACACAGAGGCGCTTTACCTAAATGCTTGTCTTCATTCTAATCCCACATCTCACTTTGTCCACAGGCAGCCCTGGAACATTCTGTGCTACAGGGTGCTGTGCCCGGCTCCCTCTGCTCCTGGAGAGGATCGGTGGGCACACTCTGGTTGGCAGGGAGCTCTGCTGTGCAGCGTCCTACTCAGGGATAGGGTCTGCCTGTGGCATCTTAAACCTCTTTCCATTTGTTTTTCTTTGGGGGCTTTGTTTTGTTTTGTTTTGCTTTTGAGACAGGGTCTCACTATGTAGTTGAGACTGACCCGGAACTCACTATGTAGCCCAGGCTGGTCTCAAACTCACAGCGATCCCCTTGCCTCAGCCTCCTGAGTTCTGGGATTCCAGATGTGTGCCACCACACCCGGCCATCACTATATGGCCCAGGCTGGTCTCAAACTCACAGCGATCCCCTTGCCTCAGCCTCCTGAGTTCTGGGATTCCAGATGTGTGCCACCACACCCGGCCCACTTTCCATTTTTTGAAAATTCATTTCACAGTACGTATTCGATCATAAGAACTGTGAATTAATCCATTTCACTCTGACTTCCCGTAGGTTCAGACCTTACACTTTGGTTCCTACTTGTCCTCCCTATGTCATCGCCCCACCGTGTCCCTTCCCTGGAAGTTCATTATAGGTTTTCAGTTCAGATTTTGTTGTTGTTTCCACACATGAGAGAAAACATGATACTTAATCTTTCTGTGTCTGCTAATTTTGTTTAACACGATAACCTCCAGTTCCATTTATTTTCCTGAAAATGACATGGTTTCATTCTTCTTGGCGACTGAATAAAACTCGGTTGTGTAAATATACCATTTTTTAAAACCCCATTCCTCTGTTGATGGTCATGTAGGCTGATTCCATATCTTACTACTGTGAACTGTGCTTCAATAAACACGAACAGGCAGATGTCTCTTTGCATGCTGGCTTCGTTTCCTTTGGGTCCACATCCAGGAGTGGTACAGCTGAATCCTAGGGTAGCTCTATTTTTAGCTTTTTGAGGAACCCCCATCCTGTTTTCCACAGTGGCTGTACTGATTTACATTCCTACCAACAGTGTGTAAGGCTCCTTTTTCTCCACATCCTGCATTTACTTTGTTATTTTGATAATAGCTACCCTGACGGGGATGAGCTGGAATCCTGGTTTTGATTTGCATTTCCCTAATAGCTAAACATGTGGACATATTTTTACTACACTTATCCCTGCATAATAATCAAATTATGAAAGTTAACATGTCCATCTCCTTAAATGTTTTTAGAAATTTTCTGATTAACCCATAATAATGATATTTGTAGGGCTTGTAGGGTCAAATGTGATATTTCAGTACATGTATCCAATTGTGTTGATAAAATTGGGGTATTTAATGTTCCTATCTCCTTGTGATAACTTTGTGTTTTGAGCCTTCAAACTCTTCTCTTCTAATTAACCCTAAAATAAGTATTAGGTTATGGTATAATTCAAATTTTTCAGGAATTACAGCTCTTATTTCTGCTGATCTGATTTTTCTCTTTCTTGGTGACAAGTAGGCTATCCATAAAATGGTGCTGTTCATTCAAATGTGAATGGGAAATTAAAGGATTTAAATATAACCGGGGCAGAATTTTCCTAACTTTTATTATTCAGATCCACATTTTGTGTAGAAATAACGAAAGTCATAATACTTACGAGCTCTCACTAGGGCCATGTAAACTGCTAATATCTTGTTAAGACAAAAGGAGAAGAGTTCAATTTGTTAAATGCACTCTGCGTCAAGGACTCTGGGTTTCACTGCAGTACATGTCCACAAATGAGCTCACCATTGAATACTTGCTCTATTCTCAAGAAAGGTATTTTTCTATTATTTTACCTCCTCCTCTGTTTCCTTCATTCTCGGAAGCAACTAGGCTCTCTGAGATGGCTCTTTTCAGATAACTCTAGTAGACAATCTGTAGTATTTGCAACTCATAAGGTGGTTTTGATGATTAAATGAAATAACTAATGAAAAAAAATGCTTTGTGCAAGGTCTGGCTCTTGTTTCCTATTTGAAATCCCATGCTGAAAATACTGTGGACATGCAGATCCAGGTCAGAAAACCTCGCCAAGGCAGTGCTGGAGAGCTCTGCCGACCCATCTGTTTCTTCCATCCTTTTTTTTTCAGAAGAAAGAGTGTTTATTTCCCCACTGAAACTTCCATCGTGTGCATCCTCCAAATAGGAATATCCTTCTGTAAAACCACAACCTCCATCCAAGCTAAGAAAATTACAGGTAAATTCCTAGTATCTTCTGATACAAGGCTGCATTCATATTCCATCAGCTGCCTCAAAAATGACTTTGATTAAAGCCAGAGAACAATACTCATCCACGCTTGACCTTCTTTAGTGCATCTCTTAAACACAGAACATCTTCCTCGTTTTTCTTTCTTATATACTGACTTGCTGAAGAATCCATAAGATTGTTCCATATTCTGGAAATTACTGGCTGATTCTTCAATTGTCCATATTTTGTGCAACTGAGAAATTAGACTTTAAAACTCACCTAGGTTTACACTAAATATTTTTGGCA